ATACTTAGGTATGGTCATCTGTTGCTGTTAGGAATTTTCTTCTATAGTGCGAGCGATTCCGTAATAACAGATTTGTTATAAAGCTCAATTTGTTCAAATTCTGTAACATAATAAGATCAAGCTATACTAAATGTTTCATGTACCTAGAATACTATGCTTCTCCCTTGAAGACCGGTTTTTTGTGGTGCCATCAGTTGTTGATTTTGAGAGATTTTACTGCATCCGTTTGTCATACATTCCTGGTGATGATGGTTGCAGTCAGGATGTAGGTGGTAAAATAATTTTGTTCACGAATTAAATCACGGATCATTATGATCTTGATAGTACTAGTCACGACAGTTATGATCTACCATCAGGAAAGAGCGAAAGGCGTAGTGGCAGTCACTGGATTGAACTCCGAATGATGAACGCCGGAACAGTAAATTGGATTTTAATCGAGGTGATCGAAATGGCTTGAGTTTCAATAATATACTGAGAAATCAAATGAATTTTGCTGTAGACATTGTGATTATTTCCTTTCAAATGCAGTATATGATAAACGCTTAACAGTTTTTCCATACTGTGTAGGGGGTATTCATTTATTTTCCGTATTAAATATTGAAATTCATTTATGTTTAATTGTGCAGTTTCTTCTGAACTATAATTAACACATGATTTTGATAAAGACCAACCGTATTCACTGTTTTCCAAGCTCTGAAGCTGTGACGTGTCTTTCATCCTCGTTACGCACTAGTTGAAGCCGTCGTGGGATGCCAGTCTGGTGGAAAATGCTGGAGACGTTTGCTTGCACGCCTGCTGTTGAAACCGCTTCCGAAAGTTCCCTCAGAAGTGCTGAATGCAGATGTTTCAAAAGTTTTAATTATTTATGATTTTTAGCGTATGTTGCTCTCTGTGTTTCGTTGTTTCTATTTTACAACGCATAGATTTTACATTCCGTGAAAATGTACTCATTGAATCATTCTTCTTTCTTGGTTTTATACTTGCGACGTCTGACGTACTGCGGAAAACAGAAAGGTCTGGAATTGTTTCCGCTCATGAAATAGTAAAGCGTTTTTTGCTCTTTTTCAGTTTTGTTTTGCAGTTTTGTATTTTTCATATAATGCGTAATGCGTAACTCACTTTTGAGTGTAATGCAGAAGTATTAATCTGTTATTAATTCTGAATCATTATTGACAGTTATGAACAATAAATGCCTCGGATGTATGTATTATTATTAGCACTACTTTAAGGTATTGATAGACATTAGCGCCATCAGTTTGCTGAAAAGTGAAAGCTACAAGAATTGGAGTAAGTGTTTCAGAGGAATTATCTCATTCAAGGATGTGTTCACCTTAAACCATAAATCGACCCTTTGTAAGTAATCGAACTTTTGTGGGTTACACCTAATGCTTATTATTAGGTGAGTGATTGCCAGTCGTGTATGACGCTTCTCTAACAGTGCGTTGGTTTTTCGGTACACATCCATGATTAAGGGCAATTTACGGCACCCTTCTTTTCATGAAGCTTGTGGTGCAGTGACAATCTCCGCCTATCAACAGCAGGAAGTGCCTTGGTTTTTGTGTCTAAATCTACAGCTCAGTGACCATTAGTGTGTAATTTCCTGTTTTTTTCCATAACATGATTCTTAACTATTAATCTCTGGGGGAAGAAAGGCAAGTTACCGACTGGATTGTATTCGAGACCTTTCGGTTGCGAGCCTGATGTCCTACCGATGAGCCACTCCCGTACTTTACCACCAATGTGCTATCCTTATTTGCAGGTCAGTGATTTTCTGCATGTTGTCTGAATGGTGGCACCATACCAGAGCATGAATCTTTATGTAAAGCGGATTGGCCGTTTCAATAGGAAAACTTTGTCGTGTGTGGAACCTGAACTCTGGACCTAGCATGCTGTATAGCACTAGAATCCATTGTGTTATTACATATATGGATGTCGTGAAGTTGTCTGTCACTTGATCATTAAGTGTTACTCAAGCAGGGAAACAATCGATACATCTTTTTATTACCATTCGAACTTTCGATGCGGCTGCGAAAAGATGGAGAAGGGCGCACAGTTTTACAGAATTGCTGAACGAAGTTGCGTCAAGAGATTATCAGTTGACATCTTTAAACGTTAATTTAAGTGCATTATTCGACAATGCCAGTGCAAAATGCGTAATATTTCCTCGTGTAATAGACAGCACAGCAAAAATTTTCAAAAGTCTGTCAACGGAGGATCAACTTTCAGTTTTTCCAGTGGCAGTGCAGAGCACAGGTGTTTTTCTTCCAAAGTTTTGCTTACAATCAGAGATTTGCGATTTGCGTGGTATCACAAATCAATGTGCCGCTCGCAGAACTACAAGTCCATCATCGAATATCCGTGCTGCAAAAATGCCCTACTCTATTATAATCCGTGGTGTAGCTTACGTGTGTCAGTGACATCGTATTTAAAGTTAATATTTTCCTTTACCGTGTCCGTATATTAAAGATTTTTTTTATTACAACTTGATCCACGGATCAGCCATATCATGAAAAAAACAAAGCTATCTCAGCTTTCTGGACATGCTGATGGGTTAAAAATGAGAAACTGTTTGATCTGAAAGATTATCACAAAGCTCAAAATTTCAGTAGGTACCTACATTCAAAGTCTTGTGCCTTTAAATTAGTTTTTTAATGATGTAAACAACATGAACCTGGTCAATAGGGTTTGCAACACTGATCACTCGTACCAGAAAATGAACATCTACAAAATTTCTTACGCTTAAATCGCTTCAGTGAACAAATTGTAATGACGCTTATTGAACCCCGTAGCTAACGCTAAAAATCTGCCCTACTCTTGCTATCCTCCTTTATTCTAGCTCTGACAAAATTAAGTAGCGCCTTCCTGGAGAATGAGAGCTTAAGAATGTACTACGAAATGAAGGAGGGGGTTCATTAAAACAGCATGTCTACCAGAACGAAATGAAACGAAACGAAATGTCTACCAGAACGAACGACCTATTAGTGATCTAATTACTGACCTATTTACTGACCTATTTAGTGACGTATTTACTGACCTATTTAGTGACCTATTTACTGAATTATATACTGACCTTTTTCTAACCTACTTACTGACCTATTTAGTGACCGATTTACTGGCCTATTTACTGACCTTTTTCTCACCTATTTACTGACCTATTTAGTGACCGATTTACTGACCTATTTACTGGCCATTTTACTGACCTATTGACTGGCCTATTTACTGACCTTTTTCACACCTATTTACTGACGTATTTACTGACCTAATTACTGAATTATTTACTGACCTTTTTTTCACCTATTTACTGACCTATTTAGTCACAGATTTATTGACCTATTTAGTGACCTATTTACTGGCCTATTTACTGATTTATTTACTGACCTTTTCTAACCTATTTACTGACCTATTTAGTGACCTATTTACTGATCTATTTAATGAATTATTTACTGACCTTTTTCTCACCTATTTACTGACCTATTTAGTGACCAATTTACTGACATATTTACTGAATTATTTACTGACCTTTTTCTCACCTATTTACTGACCTATTTAGTGACGTATTTACTGACCTATTTAGTGACCTATTTACTGATCTATTTAATGAATTATTTACTGACCTTTTTCTCACCTATTTACTGACCTATTTAGTGACCTATTTACTGACCTATTTACTGAATTATTTACTGACCTTTTTCTCACCTATTTACGGACCTATTCAGTGACCTATTTACTGACCTATTTAGTGACCTATTTACTGAATTATTTAATGACATTTTCTAACCTATTTACTGACCTATTTACTGAATTATTTACTGACCTTTTTGTCACCTATTTACTGACCTATTTAGTGACGTATTTGCTGACCTATTTAGTGACCTATTTACTGGCCTATTTACTGACCTTTATCTCACCTATTTACCGACCTATTTAGTGACCTATTTACTGACCTATTTACTGAATTTATTACTGACCTTTTTTCACCTATTTACTGACCTATGTAGTGATAATTTACTGGCTTATTTACTGAATTATTTACTGACCTTTTTCTAACCTATTTAGTGACCTATTTACTTAATTATTTACTCACCTTTTTCTCACATATTTACTGACCTATTTAGTGACGTATTTACTGACTATTTAGTGAGTAAATAGGTGAGAAAAAGGTCAGTAAATAGGCCAGTAAACAGGTCAGTAAATAGGTCAGTAAATACGTCACTGAATAGGTCAGTAAATAG